CTGCAACCAAAGCCACGTCAGACCTTTTCCTCCCTCGAAGCCAAGCAGGGTGTGGAGGCTACTGCGGGCCGCTGGCGCCTGCCCTTCACCAGTAGGAACCTGAGGGCCAGGGCGAAGGGACTTGCCAGGGACAAGCAACAGCTTAGTGACCATGGGCTAGGAGTTATGAGTTGTGATGTGGGCTTGAGGTGGGGGTCTGGAGTCCTAGGGGAGGGCCTGGGAAGGGCAGACTTGCAAAGGAGTGGGCTTCAGAGGAGAGACCTGGGCTGATGAACCAGCCCTATGGTGTCTCAAGGTCACCCAAAGCTGGCCAAAGGGGAAAGGGCTGCTGCTTCCCCGTGGGCCAGAGCCCACAGGCCAGGCCCTGGGAGGGTCTCACGCTGCACTGGGCTTGCTGGGCACAGCCTCAGTGTCTTTCTAGGGCTTTCTGTCCCACTCTGCCTTCTCTCCAGCCCGCTGCAGGCCCTGCTGGCCTGTGCCACCTCTCCCGCAGCGCAGGTAATCCGACGGCTCCTAGATTACTGTGGATATGTTGCTTCCATTTCCACCTCCCTGAGTTCTTGTCCTTGGAGCACGTGGGTCCCGTGGGATGGCCGTGAATGTGCAAGGACACTTGTGTCATGAGTGTGCTGTGTGGTGATTCGTGCTAATGTGATTCACAGTGGCACGTTTGAGTGTCTGGATCTACAGATATGTCTGTGAGTTTTAAAAAAATCTCACTTCCTCCGTATTTGCAGATGCAGTTTTGCGGGTATTCTCATGTGTATGAATATCTCTGTATTTTTGTATCTTTGAACTTTTGTTTACTTAAGATACAGTTTAGCATCTTTAGAAGGCCAGCTCCTGCCGGGGTGTCCAGTGAGGGCGAGGGGCTGTTGGTACAGCTGGGAAGTGCCTAGCAGGTGAGGACCTGGTGGGGCCTCATGGCTGAGAAGGCCTCACACTGGGCCTTTGGCCTGGGTTTGGGGAGCTGCCCTCCCCTCAAAGCCTCAGCTCCTGTTGGAAGGCGGCCCCTGCTCCTGACCACCGGCACAAGGGGTTCAGGAGGTGCTATCTACTTCTGACCTCCTACCTGGGCCCTGTGTCTGAAAAGAGTTGTGCCCAGCTGCTGGGAAGGTTCCAGGGGCTTGAGACTAGGATCCTGTGGGGAGACCTGGACAGGTCCCTGAGCTGCCTCTCCGTGGCCTGTGGTCTTTCTCTCCCCCAGCTGCTGTCTGCCTCACCCCCAAGTCTCTGCCACAACCAAAGCTCCTTTGTTACCTCCCCTGCCCCAGGCCTCTGCACCTGCCGCAGGGCACAATGCGCTCATTGTGTTGTCCTGCAGTTGTCATGGCAGCTGAGCTCCGGCTGTGGCCTTCCCTTTGGGGGGAGCACACTGAACTGCAGCTTGACCTGGGGGGGGGGGGCTGGCCCACAGCCAGGAAGTGGGAATGGGGAGATGGCCTTGTCCAGAGACTTATCCCCTGTCCTCCGTGTGTGTCCTGCTTGCCACATGATGGCTGGGCAGGGTTCTGGCAAGGTGTGGTGAAGCTGCCCTGTTGCTACCTGTCCTCTGGCCCAGGTGTTTTGCTGGGGCCCGTGGGTGGGCCTGGTACCTGAGCATCTCCAGTCAGCCATGTGCCATGGTGGGTAGGGTTAATTGGGGGAGGGGGGTGTGCCATGTGGTACAGCAGAACAGAGGCAGAATGGGAGAGAAGCTCAGGGTGGGGCACCTGGTAACCCGGACAGTCTGGAAAGTGTCACATGGAGGACTTTCCTTGGCATGGCTTTTGCAGGATTTTGTCTGCAGGGCACCTGCTGTACTGTTTCCAGATGCATCCCACCTGAGCACACAGGTGGAGGTGGGTCCCCAAAGACATGGCCTCCCTTCCCCGATTCCTGCCCTCTGTGTCTCCCCACTCACTTCTCGCTTCTCCCCCTTGGGTCCACGAGACTCCTCCTCCTTCTGTTTCCCCTTCTGTTCTTACCTAAACCACAAGGCTGCTTTGCCTGGAGCCGGGATGTGGCCCAGGAGAGAGGTACCGAAGCCCAAGGGAGGCACTGCTCTGGGGAGGTCAGGAAGAATTGAAGCCCTTCTGATACCTGAAGTGACTCGTAGATCCTAACACCTCTTGTACGGCAGGGTGGATAAAGTAGGACTATCTTTGATTTGGTGTAGGGGCTGGTAGTAGTGTGGTGTAGGCCAAGGCCCACCCCTCTGTCCTTGGCCTGAATTTCTGACCCCGTCATTCTATGTTTCCCCACACCATGGTGGCTTCTCTGTCCCCCAGTCCCTCTGAGCCTCTTCAGGTGGACATGAAGTCCAGTTGACGAGAGGCTTCCCCAAGGCGCGGGGTGCAGCAGCTCACATGGGGTGGCTTGCAGGGAGAGGGCAGTGCATGGGGGAGGAGAACCTAGCGCCATGGAGCCCCTGCAGGCTGGGCCCCTTCTCTGCACCACCAACAGGTTTTAGTGTCTATAAGAAACTGTAGTCAGTGTGCTTAACAGATCCTTGTTGGGAAATAGAATTAAAAACAAAATCTCACCCAGGCTCAGTGGTGTGCTCAGTGGTGTTCCAGCTGCTCTGGCTGTACTTCCAGCTGCTCTGGAGGCTGAGGTGGGAGGATCGCTTGAGCCCAGGACTTCAAGACCAGCCTGGGCAACATAGCAAGATTTGTCTGAAAAAAAACTAAAAAGTATTAAAACAAAATCCCTTGCCAACCCAGAAAATCTCTTTGCAAAAGAAGAGAAAGAAAACAGCTTTTTAAAAATTGAACGTGCATTAAACCAGAAATGATGCACATTATAGGCAATCCCCTAAGAGGCCACAGACAGAGAAGGTCTCAGCCTGTGTGTAGCTAGGCAGATGCCGTCCATTACAGACATGCTCCCAGGGTAACCAGTAACTAGCCCTTAAGTAAGAGGACTGGACAGCACCATTTGTCACATGTAGTTCATCCTAAATTCACCTGGTAATTGGAGTGACCATCTATGTTAGCTATTATAATTGCCTTTATCCCAAGGAAACATAAACTTCTCATATTTTTATGACAGGAGGTAGGTTTGCAACTGGGAGCCAGGTGCCTGCTAAAGTTAGGCTCCTGCCCTCCTGTGGAGACCAGGCATCTTCCTCCGCATTCACATTTCGAAGAGATGGCTCCCCAGTCCTTGAGAAAGGCAGACCTGCAGTGGCCAAGCTGGCCAAAGACTTCTTTAGCTCTTAAAATGATTTACATCCTAGCTGGGCTCGGTGGCTCACGCCTGCCAAGGCGGGAGGATTGCTTGAGCTCAGGAGTTCGAGACCAACTTGACCAAGAGCAAGACTCAGTCTCTACTATAAATAGAAAGAAATTAGCCAAACAACTAAAAATGGAAAAAATTAGCTGGGCACGGTGGTGTGTGCCTGTAGTCCCAGCTGCCTGGGAGGCTGAGGCAAGAGGATCGCTTGAGCCCGGGAGTTTGAAGTTGCTGTGAGCTAGGCTGATGCCACGGCACTCTAGCCCAGGCAAGAGAGTGAGACTCTGTCTCAAAAAAAAAAAAAAAAAAGATTTACATCTCAAAAAGACAGAGATAGAACTTAGAAGTTTCTAAAGAAAATGATCTGAAAAAACGGGGTGTGTCTTTCCCTCTTTGTACCTGGGACAATCTTTTTCAGTATTTTAGATTCATACTTACCCTCACCCTCCTACCCCTACCTCTCTTGCGAGGGTCCAGGCTCCCTGTCTGGGTACCTGTCCTCAGAGTGGACTCTGGCAGGAGGTGCTGGGAATGAGGGGCTGACCCGAGCCTGGAAATCCCTGGAGGCAGCAAGAAGCATGAGCTGTGTCTGTGTGGGGCAGCCAGCCTCACCTGCTTGCTCTGCCAAGGGGGTAAAACCAGATCCTTGTCCTTAGGAGACACTGCCCACCACCATGGCGTTCAAGATGGGCTGTTAGGCTGCCACAGCTCCACGCCAGGCAGGGCAGCAGGTATTTGCCTGTGTGTTTGTTGAGGGCCCTCTTTATGTCAGCTCTGTTCCAGGCACCAGAGATTTGCTGGCAAACATGAACAGTTCCTGTCCTCATGGTGGCGGGAAACAGACAAGTAGAGATCATGTCAGGTGGCAAAAGTTAATACTTTTGCGGGGAGTTAGGCTTGTGACTCTATGTCGAGGTGCCAGGGAAGGCTGCTCTGAGAAGGTGACATTTAAGCAGGGAGCTGGCAGAAGCAAGGGGGCCAGCCAGGCAGAGACCTGAGGGCAAAGGGGACAGCGTGGTAAAGGCTTGAGACGTCCAAGCAGCAGCATGCCTGACCGTGATCTGGGCATGAAGTGAGCCAGTCGGGAGATGTTCAGGAGACTTGGGCATGAGAAAACAAAAAATGAGTCCCAGATCTGCGAATGAGGATTGGGTCAACTAGCACCCTGATTGACTCTGTATGTTCTTGTGTGGAGACAGATGGCCTGAGGCTCCCTGGAAGGGTTTGGGCTGGAACATGACGGGAACTTTTGAAGAGCGGGGCGGTGACTTAGGGAACGTGGAGGGCAGCTCTGCTCCCTGGTGTCTTCCTGACCACAGCTGGGCCCAGGTGGATCTCTGACCATATTTGCGGTTCCTGGTCCTCAGGTGTGGCGTCCTTCACGTGCCACGCTGTGGATGTTGAGAGTGGGGCGCGAGGCTCTGGTCGGGGTGCTGGCAGACCTGAGCTTTTGTCCACCTTTGAGAGTCAGCCACCTCCATGACTCTGGGCACGTCAGGGGTCTCTCTGGCCTCTGTTTCCCCTTTGTAAAATGGGAATTATGCCTATTTTGCCTCCCCAGCAAGTATGTGTGCAATTAAAAAAGCCATGTACATTTCAAATGAGGTTATGGATAGAAAGGCTCTGTGAAAAAGAGAGAGTGCGTTCTGTGGGATGGGAGGCAGACAGGGAACCCCAGTTTCATCCTTGTCCCACAGGCCAATTGTTTTCCTTTCACTTCCATCTCACCCGCAGATGGCAGGGGAGGGACCCGGCCAGCATTGATGCTGGGGAGGCCTCCAGGGATGGAGAATGGCCTGGCTGGTGACAGCACAGGTAAGAGGGAAACTGGAGGAGGTGGGGACCAGCCGGGGCCCGAGTGCCCTTGCCCTCTCTGAAGCCAGGCATGAGCTGCTGCCCTCTGCCAGTGGTTAGTACATCCCACAGATGTAGAGTTTCAGGGTGGGACCAGGACTTGGAAGGCCATGTCAAAGAATGGGACAAAGACAGAGGCGGTGGGAGCTCAGAAGGTGACAGAGCCCTGCCGGTTAACTTGCCAGGCAAGGGGACACACACACACACACCTTGTAGGAACTGAGGTGTTTTTAAGTGCTAGAACAGGGAGTTCACAGTGATTATGCTAATAAACATGGAAAACTAGCACTCTGGGTAGGACAGTCGGTTAAAACAAACCCTGTGGTTCGTGGGCCAGGACAGTGTCTTCAGTTCGGTCCATTAAAGCTTCCTGGGGTCACTCAAAGTTCAGGGTCTTTATCAGCTAAGCTGCTTAGAGCCAGTTGTGATGAAATACATGTTGTGAATGGAAAATTTTCCGGTGCAGTCATGTGCTCTCCGCCCAGGGTGGAGCAGCCCCTGGCATGTGTGAGTAGCCCTCCCAGCCCTTGGTGGCTGTGTGGCGGGGGCTGCAGGCAGGCTCGGGGCCCCTCAGATGGGGGTGGGTCGGAGAGCAGGTCCTGGAGCAGGGTCTGCAGCCGCAATCCTTGGCAGAGTGTGACTCAGGTTTCTTTACCTCCCTCTGCCCTCCCAGGGGAGTGCCCCACAGACCCCAGGGCCCCTGCCTTACCGCCCCCGTAGGGAGAGCTACCTCCCCTCCCAGGAATCATTCAGTGACCTAAGACTGAGACAGAAACCAGGCAGGAGGGTAAAAGAGAAACGAGCAGGAAGCTCAAAGGGGGATGACGGCGTGGTGTGTGGCAACCACGCTGTTGGGGGGCTGGGTCCCGACAGACTCTGTAGGGAGCTTGGCCACACTGCTGGTCCCTTCTCCGCTGAGGAGCAGGGCGGTGGGCAGGAGCACTCTGGCCGCCCGCGTGTGGAGCGGACATCACGGTATGAGAGTGGAGCCTAGAGCGACGTGCCCAGCGTCTTCGCAGAAGGGCCCCTTGCCAGATAAACTCGGAAGTGGGGTCCTGATCGGCTGTGCGGTGGCTCTGGCTGATGTGAGATGTGGAGTCCGCCAGGACCCTCTCTTCTGCCCGCTCCCAGCGTCTGCGGCAACCGTGTGGCTTCAGGCAAGAGTTTGGAAAGCGCTGGCCTAGACGCCAGGGGCACTGAGGCACACGGGGGACTGGGCGGGCCCCTCAGGGACTTAGGGAATGACTCATTCTGGGTGGCCGCATTTTTCAGGTAATTGAGAACTTATCTCTTTTAAGCGCCTTTTTATTTGTTTTGTATATTTTTTTTTTTTTGAGACAGAGTCTCACTGTGTTGCCCTGGCTAGAGTGCCGTGGTGTCAGCCTAGCTCACAGCAACCTCAAACTCCTGGGCTCAAGCGATCCTCCTGCCTCAGCCTCCTGAGTAGCTGGGACTACAGGTACATGCCACCATACCTGGCTAATTTTTTCTATTTTAAGTTGTTTGGCCAATTTCTTTCTATTTTTGGTAGAGACGGGGTCTCACTCTTGCTCAGGCTGGTTTCAAACTCCTGAGCTCAAACAATCCGCCCGCCTCGGCCTCCCAGAGAGCTAGGATTACAGGCGTGAGCCACCGTGCCTGGCCCTAAGAAGGCTTTTAATTACCTCTAGATTCTAAACAAATTCCTGTAATTCTTCTAATACTGATATTTTCTTTGTTTAAACCACTACTTAAGTCCATCTGGAACTTATTTTTATAAGCAATATGCACTAGGGATCTAACTTAAATATTTTTCCCCAAAAGATTATCAGTTGGTTCTAAATCAATCAACAGACTAGCCCTTTGCCATTGACTTGGAATGTCTCTTGTATCATATATCAAGCTGTTTTGCTCCATTGATCAATTTGTCTTTACGTATATTGTATACTATTCTCATGATTTGATTGTATTTAGCTTTTTTTTGGTGGAAGGGAATCTGACTTGCAGCCTCACCTCACCAGGCCCACCATAGAGCAGCCACACCAATAACAACTGCATCCGTCAAGAGTTTTTTTTGTTGTTTTTTTTTAATGGACTTTACATTTTAGAGCGGTTTTAGGTTTATGGAAAAACTGCAGAGAAAGTAGGGAATTCCCCTATACCTCCCTGCCATTTCTCCTGTTACTAACATTTTGCATTAGTGTGGTACAGTTGTTGTAACTGATGAGTCAATATTAATATATTATTATTTTTAGAGATAGTCTCGCTTTGTCACCCAAGCTGGAGTGCAGTGGCACAATCATAGCTCTCTGAAGCCCTGAATTCCTGGGCTCAAACGATCCTCCCGCCTTGGCCTCCCAAAGCACTGGGATTATAAGCATGAACCACCTTACTCAGCCTGATACATTATTATTACCTAAAGTGTATAGGTACATACATTAGGGTTCACTCTTGGTGTTATCATTATATGGGTTTTGACAAAGGTATCCACCATTACAGTATCATATAGAATAGATTCACTGCCTGCACATCCCTGGTGCTCCACTTGGAATCATACAATACATAACCTTTTTAGATTGGTTTCATTTACCTAGCATATGCATTTAGGGTACCTCCATGTCCTTTTGTGACTTGATAGCTCATCTCTTTTCATCAGTGAATAATGTTTCATTGTATGGATGTACCATAGTTTGTTATCCATTCACACACTGAAGACATCTTGGTTGCTGCCCAGTTTTGGCACTTAGGAATAAAGCATCCGTGTACAGGTTTTTGTGTGGACATAAGTTTTCAACTCATTTGGGTCAATACCTAGGAGAGTGATTGCTGGATTGTATGATAAGACTACATTTAGCTTTGTAAGAAACTGCCACACTGTCTTCCAAAGTGGTTGTACCAGTTTGCATTCTGACCAGCAATGAAAGAGTTCCTGTTGCTTCACATTCTTGCCAACATTTGGTGTTGTCAGTGTTCTGAATTTTACCTATTTTAATATGTGTATAGTGGTACCATTCTAGCTTTTAATATCATATAAGCCAAATTCTTCCTTATTCATTTTTAGGATTTTCTGGGCAATTTATGTACATCATAAATTTT